AATTTGCCGCATGTGATTCACTTTTTAGCTTAATAGTCGGGAATGAGCGCTGTTTTGAGATTTCACAACGGAGGAAATACGAATCCATGTCAAAAACGGTGCAGAACACGCAAATTGTGTGCTGCTGACCAGAACGAGGGATGAAATGGTTTCACGGTTTATCAATAAAATTGACAAGCACAAGGTGACTTTGGTCATGTACTCAAAATATGAAAAGAAAATTGTTCGACAAATAAACACGAGAATGATTGCGATGATGCCGATAACAGTGATTTCCGTCCCCATCATCTTTTTCTCCCACTTTTAACACCTTTTCATCTCCAGTCAGTCACCAATGCCAATTTCCTGCCGCCAATAACAGCAGCTTTGCTTCACTTTTATTCTTTAAACAACAATGTTTCTTGGTGTGGCTTGAAAATGCCTTTGGCTCTTCTTCACCAATTCCCACGATAAAACAAGTTATGGTTCCGGTTAATGCTCGTTTCACGTCAATGGCATTTTTTTTTAGAGTGCGCGTCAATTATTCACATTTTTCCGCTTTTCACGACAGGGTTCCCCGTCCACATCCTCTTCGAATGACGGATTACTGTACATATTTAATAATCTGCTCATCGTGTCGTATCGTCAGCTATCTCCCACTTATCGTCTCCTAAATGTTATTTGTATGTATTTGGAAATATTTCCCACATCTCCCCATTTACTGCGTGTAATTATGTTTTCCGAAGAAGCTTTGCTCTCTCGCTGATGGAGGAACACAACAGATGAGCCACTGCAAAAGCTCGGCGCTATTTTTTGCCGCCGGAGCAACGGTAGTGAGCGATTTCCCTCGCTTTGGCTTAGTTGTAACATTGACAGCTACCCGCCAACCCCCACCAATGAATCCATTTTACCTCCGCCGCATTTAACGCATGTCTAGGGCAGCTACGTGTCCGCTAGTTGCGAACCTCAGCGTCGATTTATTTCGGTAGGTTTAATCGTCCTACATCGGATGCCGTTGATGAATGTCGGTGACTTTCCCCTCATCTTCACCCTCTCGGCTGCGACCGGGGCAAACCGCGGTTGCGCCAGGGTGCGGGTTAATGAGTGGATTTGCTGCACGGCGGCACTCGGTCCCCTCACCCCATGCCGATGCGGTGCGGTTGAGCCCCGCGGTGGGCCAGTACCGCCGCGGAGCTATAAATCATCCTCAAGCGGGGTCCCAACAGAGCGGCCACCGCTGGGTATGGACCGGCTAGGGAAACCGAAACGAGAAAAAGCTGCGCAGAATATCCAGACACTTTTCTGCAGCCGTCGCCCCCCCCACCGCCGACAAGGTAACCTCGCATCCTCTCGACCTCCGGCCCCCTCCCCAGCCGTTGCCTTTAATTCCCCTGATTGGCGTCTCTATGGGAGCGGCAGCTCGCCAGCAATTTGCCCCATTATGTGATGTATTAGCGCTGGCCCTGGGGCAGGCATGGAACGCAGAGGGACGCCTGGCTTCTCCTCACGCTCTCCTTGCCTCCACCTCGGCGTTTACCTGGACCCCCCGCCTGCCGCTGTACGTCGAAGCCCAAGGAATCGGCAGTTGCGACAGCGGGCGACGTAAAGCACTGCCGCAGCCGCTGATGCTCCGGATTAGGGCTGAAGCCGTTTACCGATAAACCGTGATATGATTTCAGACGGTTTGTGTTAGCCTTTCAAATTGTCACTATGGTTACTGACGTACTATCTCAGAAAGTAACAGTTGTCCTTTGGAGAACAAGACGCAAAAGGTAGAAGAAGACAAAGCCCAAAGGATGCAAACTAAGATGACGTCAGATGCGTATGTTACCGATTTACTGCGGTGACAAAAGGTGGCGGCAGATGACGTCTTACGTTCCCCTTGAGAATACGACACTTCGAGATGATTTCATTTCAGCGGTACAAAAACATTAATGTGGTGAAGATTCTCCAGACCTTTTGCGAACACCCGAGGCTGAAGTTAGCTCCTCCCCCAAAAGCGTCGGGAAGTCTTGGTCCACAGCTACCATTGATTATTATGCTCTGGGGACGCTTTGCTACATCCGGCACTGTTGCACCGACTTTGTGCTCGTCAGCCTCCATTCACCTGGAATTAACCTGCTTACTCACAGATGCAGAAAGAAACAAAAAGATGACACGACACTATGATTTGACACAACACGACCTAACTCATTTGTCGGTGTAAAATTGAAGTACAGCACTTGCATGACTACATGTGTTCATTGATTCCGAGGAAGTGGTTGGAGTCAAATCGATGGGAGTCCACGTCGTCCGATCGTTGCCAGCCTACATGCTATTTGAACGTACGACACACTTGCACGGAGTTTGGCCTTCTTTGAGGCAATGTGAAAGGTCATCCACCTATCTTTGCATTTGGTACCGATGCTGAATACTTTAGCTAGTCAACGGTAGCTCATAAACCCTTGCCACTTTTTACCCCCCCCCCCCCCCAAAAAAAAAGAACTGTTGCCAATGTATTGTTTTCTGAGCCTGAATGTATTTTGGGGTGTAAATCTGTCATATTTCATTCTGCAGAGCGTCCGTGGCAACAGCCTCCTGGTTAGGAGAAGGTCAGCATGTCTGCACACCTGAAAAAGAAAAGCCACTTGAAAGGTATTTCAAAATAAATAAATAAAATTCTAATACACTTACTCCATAATGATTTTAATTTTGCCATTATTTGCATACGACATGAATGCAGCACAAGCATCAACCTCGGCTCCTTTTATTGTCAAAAGCGAGGCACCTGGAAACTCATTTGTCATTCTGAGTCGACTGCGATGAAATTGGGGGCTCATTTGGCTGCTTTTAGGTGCGACGCAGGAAATTGTAAACAGCTCTGGCCCTTACTCTGTCCAAGCCATTAATGTTATGAACACAAATGTTGATCGAAATTGTTAACCTGCAAACTCACTGACCGCGAGTTGCTTTCCAGTTTTTTTTTTTTTTTTCAGCATCTTACCCTCCTCCATTGCGCGTTGTTGCAAGAAAAGAATATGAAATATTTATCAACTGCGCCATGTGTTGGAAGCACCCGGCGCCTACCTGGCAGTGCTGCTGGCTTGGAGATAACACTTTGCGATGGCAGGCAAAACAGCCAAATGTTTTTTTTTTCTTTGTTTTTTTCCCAGGAAAGAAAAAGCTTTCTTCTATGTCTGTATTTGCGCGTGCCAAATTCTGAAATCTCAGCGCCCTATTTAAATTTTTTCCACTCTCGGGGTTTGATGTGAATGCACTGCAGGATTGACATCATGCAGTTACAAATGTTTTCAAAAAAAACATACGACAGCGTAAAGAGAATAAAAAAACAGCTCACGAGGAATCGGAAATCCTCAGATATACAAAACCAAAATTAAAATCAGATGCGACCAAGCAAATTGCGAAATAAAAACGAGACATTGACAGCCTTCTAAAATTTTTATAATTGCTAACATGTTTAGTTTGACATCTTAATGTCAAACTCATCTCACAATATTAGCCTTAAAAATTATAGATGGATAAATAGAATTTCCACTAACAACCCAGACTAAGCTCAGCTCCTTCCCCAGCATTCAAAGCTTATCTCTCAGTCGTTGAGCTGTGTCACTTTATGCTACTTCCTTGACATCAATGTACTACTTTCCTACTAGACAGGGCTTTGGCGGCATCTTGTGGCATCTTAGAGCCTTTCAGAAGGAGCACAAAAAACATGGATAGGTGAGTTTTTCAGCCAAGGATAGGTGGGATAGGGTCCACAGGGAAAAAAAAACAGCTGCAAATTGGTGAGTTTGTGAATGCATAAGTGTGAATATGCAGGGCAGTATTGTAACAGAATAAGTCAGCGATGGGCAACTGCTGAGCCCCAATCACACTTTGAGTTAGTTATTTTTTTTTATTTTTTTTACAAACCCAAAAATATACCAAAAAAAAAAAATGCTGCTAAAAATTCATTGAATGTTTTCCACCAAATACGAGAGAAAACTCGGGGGGAGTCCATGAACAATAAAAAATACCCAAAACATATATATTTTTAAACTAAAAATAAATTCCTAAAAAAATGTGAAGATGCGAGTTTGCAGGGGTCGACTGTAAAGTGGTAATATTGTAATACCACCATTCACCTCTAGATGGCAGACATTGCTTAGTGGTGCTTTCCCTGGGTCTTACACTTAACGTTAGTAGGACTTAATTTTTTTTTCCAGTTTGGAATGACATACAGGACAAATATAGACGTTAATAATATTAAACTTTGGAGTAAGTTAATTATATATTTCTTTTTAATGCAAAAAATGAATTGGTTTGTTGTTCAGCAATTTTGTGCCGCCCTTCAATGTGAATTCTTATGCAAGCAAGCCCTAAAAAAATATATAGTATGTGTTATTTTGGTTGTTTATTTCAAACCCTTTGTTGTTCTCTCAGGACAGTGGCTCTTTTATACATTGCACCGAGAAATGTATTATGAAAAATGGAATCTGTATTTTGTATTTTCATGAAAATAAATGTGGCCTCCCCCAGTATTTAAATTGCTCATCCGTGGAATAAGTTATGGCCTACTGCCAATGCATCAGCTTTGTGTTTAAATAAACAGGCCCAGACTTCACATGTTGTGATATTGTGTGTGTGTGTGTGTGTGTGTGTGTGTGTTGTTTGACTATATATTAAACACACACACACACACACACACAAACGTTAGCTTGCCGCATACAATATGAACCAAACCTTA